AATTAACATGCCAAGAGTACGACTTATCATTACCTCTTAACCTCTCCCTACAAATATTTGTACCTATACAGACTCATTCTCAACCAAGAAATCCATCTCTTACCTCATCTGATGGAGCGTTCAATATTCCATCCAAAAGGAAGGGCGACAGAACCGACCCCCTATCATCTTTTTTCATCTCGTTAAAAATTTCTAGATACCATCTTTTTGCCTCATCTCACCATAGAAAAATAAGATCTACAACCCCTAATAACCCTCCATATTAGCCCACCTTCGAAAAGAATACAGATCGATTAGCTCACCCTCAACAATAACAATGAGAGGTGGGTGCTTTTTTTTTTAATCCTAGAGTAACGATGGTTTCTAAAAAAACGGGGGTCTAAAGACGACTGTGACAAGAATATCTCATATGATTTCTTCTCAGATATTGTCCTTAGATCTCGCAACTTTCAACCCAACGATTAACCTATGTAATTGGGCGATCACCCTTTATTTTTTATCATGACTGTCTATAGTCCAGGTATCCAAAGTGGGTTGTTGCTAAAGATCCAAGTGCATGAAAAAATCATGTCCCGAGGAGTAATCTTAACCCTTGGGTCAAGGTCAACCATCAGGGTCAGCCAAGACCACAAGCAACCCCCATTATTAATGAAGATTGCCCGATCGACAATAATTGAACCTGACCTATGCACCAAGAGATAAATCAACAAAGTGCCACCCCATGAAAGCAAGATCGGTCAAGAGTGGCTTGTCGATCAACTCATACTAATGCAAAAGAAGAGAAAAAGTCGAATAGAGCCAAGTTTAGCGTGAATCCCCAGCCTGGGGCCATAAATATTTACTTTCTTGAAAAGATGTCAAAAGACCTATAAACATGTATAGATAGGCATATTTATCTACATGTTCATGTATCCCACCTGAATAAAGTTGTAATGTGATTTTTCACGGGTTTTTTCATGACAAAGATGTATTCTTAGCATGTTTGATTCAGTACTTTTATCTTAAAAAGAAAAGTATCAAAGTAGACCTCGTAAAACTTTTTGATGATCTCCTGAAACAAAGGACATCTTTAATACAATCCCATAAGACTCGCTCACAGGTCAAACGATCGACGACAAAAAAAGTTGAAACGAAAACATCTACACCAATCACGAATGTACTAACAACGTGATCAAGATGGCGAATAATTCTTTTCGCTCCCATGAAGCATCAAGCATCGACCACTCTTAAAAAGATCCCTCAATAATCTAAAATAAAGGAAACATTCTCTCTTTTCCAGCACAACATCTCAGGGTGAAACGTCAAAGAGGCCAAGTCATTACAGATCGACAAATCTAACACTCCTGGTGAAATGTCGAACGAGGCCAAGCCATTCAAGTCCCAAATCTTACATATGACGTTGACACGTCGAACAAGGCCAAGCCATTTGAGATCAATAAATCTTATACTCATGGTGAAATGCCAAACCACGCAAGTCATTTGAGTCCCAAACCACGCAAGCCGACCTAGGATCAATATTAAGTACTTAATGCGGATACCATTATTTAAAATATGTCGTTTAGCTCGGGTATGAACACAATAAAACAAGAAAAACAAACACACAAACATAAAACTACAACCCAACAACAACAACAACACATCACTACACACAAATAAAATAGAACACACTTCTCTCCACAGAAGAAACAAACTGCAACACACTACGACCCGACACACAGAGACAATCGTCCACTCAGATAGGAGTCTGGCTCGAGTACTGCTCAAGAAACTTTAGTGTATCCACGATTAGCTAGAAATGCACTAGGCGACCAAAATCTTCTCATAGGCGGACTGTCACTAGAGCTGAAACCGGAGGTCGATCACCTACGCCCCTCCCATCGACTGAACCCTCTCGCCCGACCAACCAACCACCCAGCCACCAAAAACCCTCAAACCACCCACCGACCACAAACCCACCTTCAGCCTCCCAGTTCGGAGCACCAATACAAGAAGAGGATGAATGGAGGGGAGAGTGGGCCACCTCAACACCGACCAACTCCGAGTAGGCAAGTCAAAACCCATCGAACGCCACTAGTCGGAACCCCAAGTACCCCATACCGCAACTTAGACACCTTGAATAATCAGCGAGACCTGCATCCGGTGGAGAACCGTGGCTCCTAACAGAACGAACGGAGCGGACACCAGAGGACATCACCGGGCCTCGCCGCAAAACCTGGGAAGAGAAGGCAGCGGTTGCAGAAGGCGAAGACTTGCGCGAGCGAATTTGGGGGAAAATAATTTTTTAGGAAAGAAATTTCTTTTTACGTGTCTCAAAATTTTTTTATACTACCTCCTGTTCATTATAAATGTCGTTTTGACTTTTTTTGATTTATTCATTTTGTTATGTATCTAGACATTACATAACAAAATGAATAAATCAAAAAAAGTCAAAACGACAGTTATAATGAATAGGAGGGAGTATTTGTTTTTCTAGAATTGAAGTATATTTATTTTTTATTTATTTATATGTGTAATCCGCTGGTACAAGTATAGTTAATTAAGACATGAATCGCCTATTATTATTATATATAACACATCTTCGTCAACTCCCCTGGAGTGATTTAGCTCCGGAAGTTATTAGATTCAACACTTCACCTCTGCTTTAATTTTCTCAAAGATCCAACAAAAAAGTTTTTGTCCTGATGACTCAGTTTCTTCACATTCCACTGATTGTCCTGCTGCTGATCCCGTCGATCTTGCAGAAATCATTTTGCAATTCAATAATCAATCCATCGAAAGTCAAAACCATTTCATGGAAACCCAGGTATTATTAATCTGGTAAATTCTTGCCCTCTATTTTATCTTGGTATTCAGAGATGGTTGTAATTCAAGAAACTCTGTATTATTTTCTCGATTCGTTGATGATTTGTAAATCTGAGCTTCTTCATATTTTGCATTATATTTTAGAGCATTTGTGTACGAAGGTTTTCTCACGGAAGAAGAATGCAACCATTTAGTTTCTCTTGTAAGTTTAGATTCATTGCTAGTATTTTTTTTTTCGTACATGTTTATGGTAT